CAAGATTTAAAAAAGCACTTTAAAGTAGAACTTAGTTTGGCATTAATACAAAGTGCACTTTTTAAAAGTATACTTAAGTGTGCTAAGAAACTTAGTCATACTCTCTTCAAGTACACTTAAATGGCCTTTTATTTCATTAATTTTATATTATCTGCAAGTACAATTACTTCAAATTATACTTTTAAGATTTGACGTACACTACAAGTGCACATTCAATAAAATGAACACAAGGCATATAATTAGCAACATTTGAGCAATCTTAAGTTAATTCAACTTTAGCACATATCTCATCCCGCACTGTTTGAGTTATAAACATGAATGATATCCAAAATCATGTGTCACATTGACGGTTATTCTGACAGGATCAATACATTCTTTGAAGTGCAGAGGGAAAAACATTCCAACAATGTAGAATCCCATGATCCGTGTCATTGGAATTATGTTGCAATGACCGAAATTTGCTCAAGGGATGAAGCTTAATTATGAAATATAGCGACCACCAGACCACCATTCAATATTTATGATGCTCTTTGGAGCAGTCAGTTAAATCCTCTAAAACGTGTGAGTTTCTCTAAAGTGCATGAATCATCTGAAGCACCTCCAGAAGAAACAGATAGCAAGATATATGAGGCCAGAGAAAAAAATGGAGGAGAAAATGATTCATTTGCATGCAGAGAAAAGCGCCACCTCCGCCTATCAATCATTGCACATGCTCAGAGATTCTCATCTTGTCAACAGAACCACTGCGGCTCATTGGTGAGTCAGCAGGACCGTCTGCAACATAAAGCAAATGGCATCTTGTAAACCTGTTCAGTGATTTGTCCTCTTGCCCACCTAGACCAGTGTGTGAGGTCTAGGAGTCCAGATGCTAAAAACAAATACCTACTTAATTTTAGTTGTTATCACCTACTTTAGCTTTATTGTAGGAGGGCAAGTTATTTATTTTTCATTGGCTCAAGTTAAAAAAATATAGATGTGAATCATTACCCTAAATTTAAAAACATTTGTTTCAGTGTTGAGAGTTCATAAGGGAAAAAGCATTGTCATTCTTTTGAAGTTGATTCAGTTCTTAAAACCGGTTTGTATTCATTCCTCACATAAAACTACAATTTGAAATATAGTGCACAAATCATGGATCATTTTTGATGATACATTTATTGTCCTTTTGTGTCCTTTTGGAAGTTCAAATGCTGTAGTTCTCATGAATGATGCTTTTAAATTGCATAGACAAAGAACAACCAGTATAATTCTCCTTTTGTATTTCACAAAAAGAAAAAAGTACATGTTTAGAACACCACAAGGGTCAAATAACAATAATAATTTTAGGTGAGCTTTCCCTTTAAGTAAGAGAAACAGAGGATCCCACTGAGCATCCAGCAGTCATATGGCCATTACATAAATGTGGCAGTCTCACTTAAAGTCCCTCAAAGGCTACTTTCAGCATACATTCTCTGTATGTTCTGGATGAGACGGCGCTGAAAACAGCCAGCATCTCCTGCACTTCTTACTGAGAGTTTCCGTAACAAGAACATCTAGCCTGAGGCGACATTCGATTACTAAAAAGCATGTTTCTCTCACAACTCAGCAGGTCTTGCACCTTCCCTCAAGTGTTATTCGATTTTTCTAATTCATTCATTTTTAGTAAAACAGATTTTAACAACTGTTTGATCAAAATGCTAATTATGTATTGATCTCTTTTTTTCATTTAAGACCTATTTCCCTCTTGATCTAGTACTCAATAATCATTAGACAGCAGCCGTAGGCAGAAGAAACACTGTAGAGTGTTCCTGCTTAAAAAATTAATTTGCACAGCATATCCAACTATATTGAATTTCACAGGGGTCCACAGTGACCCAAACCAGTAGTGGAGACTGAATAATAAAACCTTATTTGGCCCACACCGGTGTGACACACACAAAAAAAGTGATAAGTGATAAATGTTTTACATGTAAATATGAGTTTCTGTCCAAACCAGCCATAGCACAATCTCATTAGATCAAAATCCCACTCTGATTCAAATTCATGCATGCAAATATAAGCACATAAACATATTCAAAGAGAGAGAGACAAAGGATAATGCTAAACATCAGAATTTTATTCGGTAGGCCTACACTGAAAAAAGAAACAACTCAGCATCTGCCAAAAGATGGAAGAATTTCCCACATATTGTACCCAAGTTGTACCAGTCTCAAGGGCAGGAATAACAGAAAGATGGACAAAAAGTTCCCACACAGACAGTAGCATTTGTCTCTAAATGTCCTCCTCTCTAGACGTTAACATCAGAATGTGTTGGGCTTGTTCTTTAGAGGAAGGTCAGATAGTTGGAAATTAAGACCTCTTTACTGAGGCGCTGAGGGCTGACTTATCGATAGTAAGGTGTTCATTTAGTGTTATTTGTATACTATTATAGTATTTATTCATATTTAGAGTTAGCTTTTATTTTTATATTTTCAGTTTTAATTTTAGTTTTAGTAATTTGTTATGTGCTTTTGTCATTTTTATTGACTTTGTTTATATATTTATAGCTTTTTTTAGTTTGATTAATTTTAGTACTTCAGCTTAAACTTTTTTTTATATTTTTTTATATTTAAGTAGTTTTTCATCTAATATTTTGTATTTATTTATTTGCCTTTAGCTTTATTTCAATTACTGAAAACTTTTTAAATGACTTTTTAATAGACTGAGTTTTAGTTAGTAACAACACTGGTATTTACACGGTATTTCATGCTTATGAAATGCTTCATGCTTCAGTATTTACTGAATGAATAGCAATCCATGAAAAGATCAAAGCTGCAATACATACTGTCTAGTAGGTACTATAACTGGTTTGAAACTTACTTTACAACCGTTAAAAAAAGTATGTTCTTTATAGTATGAATATGGGTAGTATTAATGAAATCCAGATGAAATACATCCGTATTGTTACCGTCATGTGACCGATACGCACCGTTCTCATGGGTGCTTGCCTTGAGCCTCCATGATAAAATCGACTGGGATTCGGGAACCTCTCTGAGGTCTCACATCGGATCCCACCGACAATTCCTGCCGGACCTGAAACTCGAACCTGCGACCTTTGGGTTACAAGTCCGACTTGCCCGACAACGCAAGATTAAATGCCCTCCAAGATGCATTTGAAATGGAAAGCATTCATCACATTGAAGGTGGTTTGGGATGCATGTAAGACGTGACTTGTGTAAATGAAGTTGGTTGTTTAGGCCACATATGTCATTTTTACTCACCAAATGGAACTACATCAGTATATGAAAGTCAAGAAGTGACTACGTGTAAACAGGCCCAGTGTCACACTTAATAAAATCTGCATTGCAACTGTAAATGTCAGCATATCCTAAATGTTGACATTGTATTTGGCATTCTGACAACATTAGGCCAAATGTAGGTGTCAGACGGTGTGAATGGAAAGTGCATTGTGTGAATTTAAAGTGGTGTCATCCTGTGGCAATTCCTTTTGGTATGCAGAGTATTTTCTCAGCACTTGGCACGAGAGTGAAAGGAGAGAGCTGGAAAGACCCCCATAAATTTAGGAAGAGTGGTTTCCCTCAGTAAGCATTCTGGCAGGAACAGGTGAGAGGGAGCGGCGATGACACTGCCAGTACTTTCACTCTGAATTTCATTCGGAGGCTGAATGGGCTGCAGCGGATATGACTACAGAGCAGCACTCACTGAACTGTCCGTTTAGCTTTAGTCATCGCATTTTGAGCTGCTTTGTAGTTGTGTACCTCATGTCGTACACTGAAAGCCGTCGATGCGTACTAAAGCTGAGGCTGTCATGCAGAGCTCATTGCGCTGTCCCAGGTAGTGGCTACACCATGGAAATGTAATACACAGGTAGAATGGCAATTACCATGACAAAGGGACTCCTAAAATAGGTGGAGCTTAACATTGTCTCTCTGTCTCCGATCAGTGTGCAACTTGCACAATGACTGAGGGGGTTTATATTTAAAGAACTTTCTGTGGAAAATCTTGCAATCAGTTGGGTCTTGTCTTACCGTAACCCAGATTACCATTTGGCACCCAATATAAAACGTGGTGACCTGCTACCTTAAAGAGCTATTCCTGTTTCATTTAACCCATAAAATGTCGTTTTGTTGGTATAAATTAGCATGCGGACGATTTAGCGATATTTTTGGCTTGAATAAAACTATTAAACTTAAGACGTTACATTTAAGGTTACTATTTTTTTCCAGTGTAGCACAGATTTTCAGTCTTAAATACTTTTTAAACATAAATCTATAATAAAGTATGTTATATTACAAAATGTGATTCTAACAGAAAGCACACAAGCAGTGTACTATAATTTTTAGGTTACTGTATCTAAGCATGTATTTGCGCTAGGCGAAAATATGCGCTCTGCATTCGAACTTTTGTGCTTGTGAAATATTATTTTGAATAGGCTGTTGAAACATATGTATCAAAACTGTTTAGTAGGCCTACTATTAAAGCCTCCCTCAACCTTTGTGTTTTTGGGTCACACCTCAGTTTGAGAGTTATTATTTAGACCCCCTAACGGTCTAAGTACACTCCTTTCTTATTCTTCAATTCCAGTTCTTTTTCTTTTATGAAGATCCTGGTGTCTTTATTCGGGTGTGGATTCTCGACCAGACCACTGCCTGGAACTTGGACAGTGTGGTCACGTGGTGCCTGTTACTTTTCTCAACGCTGATAGTGTGGGCGAATCACAGGCCTTTGTGATTACAGAAAACAGTCTTTTATTTAGCCTTTATACAACGATTGCTGTAACTGGATTATAGTTTATACGCCAGACACGAAGAGTTATAATAACAGATTTAATCTATTATGCTTTTTGGCTTAGAAATGCTCTTGAAACCCAACTTAAAATGTGAGTGCGTTGAAATGGAGGACTCGGCTTAGTGAGCCACCGAGCGCCCCCTGGAGGAAGTAAACATTATGTCCCATTGGTAATAGTGACATTTGCCGTCCAATGGGCTCATGCAGTCCTCTCCTGTCGACTTTCTGCGGCAAGTACGGAGTTTAGATCCAGTGCTCTTCTGGACTGATGCAGGAGTAAAGACGGCAACCAGTCGTGAATGTTAAACACATAGAAGCCGACTTATAAGTTTAAAAAATCTTGCGAGTAAATGGGATTCAACGTCTTCCGAACAGAATGTAAAGAATTCCTTGAAGGATGTGGGGAATTAAAGGCTCGTGCGCTGCGGTGTTATTGTTGTTTTTGGCTTATATTTCCGTGTCCTCGGTTAATGCCGGTAAGTTTGCGTGATTGTACTCATTTTGTAAGGAATGTCATTATTATATATGGCCATTATTGGTCTTTTGCGCACGATATAGAAAGAGACATGAAGCCCTTTACACTATTTTTGCATGCATGAACAGAATTGCAACTAGAAATAATATGCATAGTGCAATGCATTCTGATATGTTCACATTGGCAGAGAACAGACAGGTTGCGGGTATGAGATGAATAAATGATGCGCTACTACCTGTTCAGCCCTCCATTGGGAAGCACAAGGCGCTCGTGGGTTTCCACTGTTCATTCAGACTGCATGTAAATGCTGAGAACAATTCATGTGATCCTAATAGATTCTGTTCACATCAAACCTGGTCGCCAGACAGAAATGACAGTCTGAATGCACAGTAGATCACATTTTAGGGCATTGGGATTTTGGTTAATGTGTCTGGACGCAGACACATTTATAGTAGGGCACTGAATTCATTTGTTAAATGGGAACCGATCTGATAACTAGAACTGCTAAATAACTACAGCAGAATAATGATTGCTTTAGTTGTCAACGACACAAATCAATCTCCTTCAATCGTGTTTGCGTTTGTCTTTCTCCATTAATTAAACCTTTCAAAGCAATAAATCATTTAAAATCGATGCTTTTTCTCTGGCCTGGATATATCCCGAGAATCATGGCATTTTATGATTTTATTCTTTTGCAAACCTAAAAATATTACCTGGTTTCATTGATACGGAGATGTATATGCAGATAACAATGTTAGGTTGTTGGCAATATCATTTTTTTTTTATTCAGATTGTTCAGTCTTTTCTGTTATCTTGTTTTTAAATACCGATAATTAATTACACAGCTTGGAAAGAAATTACTATAATAATTTACTTGTGTAAAGTGCTTTATAACTCAATTTATCCATATAAAAAGCTTAGGTATGGAAAATGCAGTGCAAATAATTTGCACGGCAAACTAATGACTACCACAGTTAATGCACATTCATCTTTTTAAAATTAAAACCAGTGCCAGTTTTAACAGAAAGCACTGAAACAAAAGCATTACAAAGCATTAGGGTGCATGAACGCAATGACACATGTGAATATTCATAATTAGGGATGCACGATATATCGGCCACCATATCGGTATCGGCCGATAAATGCTCATTTTTTCTGTTATCGGTATCGGCCTGATAAGAAAATTTGGCCGATATCTTAAAGCCGATAAATAATGCATTATTTCCTTCAGAGACACTTCAGATGCGCGCTGTTCGTTTGCAGCCTTTTGTGCAATTGTACATTGTAATATTGTGTTTATTTGATGTATATCTGATGTATCTCATATAGAATGCGTTTGGTAAAGTTAAAAGAGCGCTTCAGTTTACCAGTGAGAGCAAGTTTTCAGCAGTTTGGTCCTCATACTGTATGTGTGCTTTAAGTTTTATTTCTGTTTGTAGTGGCATGAAAATGAGTGCATCACGTAAAAAATTATTTAGAAAAAAGTGAAATATATCGGCAGTAATTTGCTAATGTTGTGCTGCTTGCTACACTGCAGAAATGGTAACCTGCAATTGTTACTTTAAAGTGCTAGGCTATTTCTACCTGATTTAACCCATTTAAAGTGCACTCTAAAAAATGCTGGGTTGTTTCAACCCTTTTTTTAGTGTCAAATATGGACTAACCCAACCACTGGGTTAAATTTTTACATTAAATTTTTAACCCAAAAGTTGGGTTAGTTCATATTTGACCCAAAGTTGGGTTGAAACAACCCAGCATTTTTAGAGTGTAGTGTTGGTGGTATAAATGTATTTATATTGACATTTTTGTCTTGAATAAAGCAATTCAATTTAGATATTATGATTTTTATGTTACCTTTTTTCAGCGTATATGTGAATCTGTAACACCAAATATGCACCACTATTATATTATATATTGGTGCATTGGTAATAACAGCCGTCGAGAAACCTACAGGACTTAAATGTAAGGCTTACTAGAGGAAGTCACCTGTGATTTCATTGTATTACAGTTGTTTGGTGAAGGAGGGCAGTCTGCTAAAACAGTCTACTATTTCACATCAGCAACACCTGTTTGGCAATCTGACAATTATATACTGCTATAATAATGTAAAAATAGAAGTGTATCATAAAGTTTGCTGTGAAATGATATGGCCATGCCATATATCTGTCAAGATATTTGTGAAGTGTAAACACCCGTCTGTTTGTGGAAATAAGAGCGCAGCTTGTGCTTCGTGATTACGGTGTAGTGGCTGTTAATGTGTTACATTATGTACAGATTAACTGTAGTAGACATCCACGGCTGACAATACACCCAAACAAAGCAGACCGAACCTTTTTCACTCAGCTTTTCTCTTTTATGTGGTATAGAGAGGCGACAAAGCCTCTGCCCATAAGTCTTTATACTGAGGCTCTGGCAGTGATGCAGGACGGAGGAATATTAATGAAGACAGGAACTGACATTTCCTCACCATTATGAAAAGAACACCGTTTCGAACACCCTGTCTAATACACAGAAGCAACAGAGGAAGCAGGTGAAACAAACATGTCAGAGAATAACTGATCAACTTTAAGAGGCGGTATGCCGGGTTTGGTCTTATTACAGGCCTGGTGGGTTTTGTTATGACGCCTGTGATGAAAGGCAGAGTGTGCAACGTGGAGTTCCTCACTCCGAGCTCTCACATGTTTGTTTCATCTGATAGTGTCAGGCATCTCATCAAAGCTACGGGAGGACACTGTGAATATTTTATGAGTCTGATGTTGTTTAGCGGGGCAAATCGCTCCTGTGCATTGCATATTAGAACAAATCTATCGGTTTATCAGGCTGAGATTTTGGTTTTGATGCATTAGGGATGCCAGTCAGTAAAACTGTTAATTGCATACAATTGTTGAATTAATCAGATAAGTTCATATTTAACTGATAAAATCTTCCAAATTAAGGCTGACAATACTTAAATAGACATACAAAAAGAGACATCAATATGTTTTGTGTCTTATGTGTATAAATGTAGTTTGGTGAGGCACATGAAGCCTGATTTGCTCAGACGTTTGGAACTGTGGTGCAGTGGTTAATGCATTTTACAGTTTCCCTCTCTGATATTTGCTGAATGATCAAAGATTATGAAACTAATAAACGAGACAAAGGGCCAATATATATTGATCGTTTTAATGTCTTTTAAAGAAATCTCTTATGCTCAACCAGGCTGTATTCCTTCCATCAAAGATACAGTAAAAACAGTAATATTGTGACAATTCAAATAACTGTTTTAGGTTTTAATATATGTTGAAATGTAATTTATTAGTGTGACGGTAAAGCTGAATTTTCAGCATCATTACTCCAGTCTTCAGTGTCACATGATCCTTCAAACATAATTTTAATATGCTGATTGGTACTCAATTATTAGTAATGGGTCTTATTATTATCAATGTTTAAAAAAGTTAAAAAATATATATTTTTGATCAATATATAGTTCATATAAACAGCATTGATTTGAAATATAAATATTTGGCGACATTATAAACCTCTTAACTGTCACTTTTGACTACAGCGTGCGTCCTTGCTGAATAAAAGTATTAATTTCTTCTTTTTTTTTTAGCAAACCGTTATTTTAAAATTTCCCAATAGTAATGTATTACTTTTTACTGTACTGTATATAAATAAATGCAGTCTTGGCGACCATAACAGACTTCTTTCAAATGCATTAAGCATTTATTCTAAACATTTAGACTGGAATATACAGTATATTCTCAAAAGAGCTATGCAATTCTGTAAAACCTGCCATATGCAAATTGCATGAATTATTCATACAATAAGAGAATGTCTTATTAAGGATTTGTGTATGTGTGTGTGTGGGGGGGGTCATATAGGGTTTGATTAAATGTCTTAATTTGTAGTCACTAATTTTACTTTTTATAATTATTCACACAAAATTAGCGAGTTGAGTTAAAAGCCCTAATTAAACACAAACTTTATGATGGTGGATACTCACTGGCTGATATTACTCTCACACAAAATATTGTCAGGTCAGGTCCACGCTAAGATGTTATTAGATGCTGGAGGGAAGCTGTTTGCATCACTTCCTCTGAGCTGAAGGCAGGCCATGTGTCTCTGGATCAGAGACTGGGATTTGAATCTCAAGGGTGTAATATTCTCAGTCTAGAGGTCAGCTTGAGCTGATAGGGAGCTTTGCTAAATTACTCTACAGTAAGAAATAATCTCGCAGGTCAAGGAAATAATGGAACATTGGTCTAAGCTGCTAGTTTCCCTCATTTTTTTACATTTTTTTTTCTCACGGTGAGGATATTTCTTTGACTTCTATTATTTTTTATGCTGAACTAATGATTTTCTATTCCCTAACTCTCACAGAGACCTTTCTGTGTTTTTAGATTTCCATTAAGACATGATTAATGTGTTTATTATTATAATGTGTTTTTCCCCTCATGGACTGGTCTCCAAAATGTAGATAGATCCAGGTTTTAACATTCATTTTGGTCCCCAACAAATCCTGACTAACACAAACATTTGCTCAACTAAATCTAAATGAAGACAAACGGTAGATGTATTGTTTTTCTTATATTGCTTTAAATTATATTACAACAGACTAATTCTAACCCCAAACGTAAACCTTTTACATTTTTATATTTGAAAAACAGTATTTTTATTGATTCTCCAAAGACATCTCTGAATTTCCTCAAACTGAGGTTTGTCAGATGTAGTTCACTTTTGGAAATGTTGTTCCCAAAGTCACATCTGAACACATACACACAGATAAACAACATTAGCTGAATTTTGGCAGATTTTTGGGAAATGTTCTGAATTAAAATCACTTCAGCATGGATGCATTCAGAGTCAGAGTAAAAATGTCTACATTGTTACAAAAGATTTCAATTTTAGGTAAATGCTGTAGTTTTAAACTTTATATTCAACCTTCTAGTCTAAAAAAATGGATCACAGTATCCACAAAAATATTAAGCAGCTTAAGTGTTTTTAACATTTATAATAAGAAGAAATTTTATGAGAAGTTACATACTTCACCTTTAATGATGGGACATGTATAATTAGCCTGTTTTTGGTATGTTTTGGCAATGCAATGTTGTTAAATCAGTCATGTATAATTGACTTGTGCTGCACCATAATAAGTTTTTTGATCGAATTCAGACTCATGATCTGATTTTGTAAAACTGCAGCACCTGACGGCCTCATACAAACACACACTAAATATATTTCTCTACTCAAAAAATATTGCATTTACTCTGAAACAAAATGGCACAACCTCTCCCCATCAAATGAGCTTCAGGTTACTCTTTATAATGTGACAGAGCCTCAGCTCCTGACCAAAATTTACACCAATAAATATCCCTCCAAGGCTTTCTGTGGGACCGCAGTGCTAAGCTACATATTTACAAGGGCCATGTCCAGGGACCGCGGACGCAGTCAAGCCAAGCCAAGCCAGAAGATTCACCTCATAACCTGGGCTCCCTAAATCACGACTGCAGGTCTAGGTAACGAGTATCACCGGACTGCCGCTGCCAACCTGACTGCACACCTCTCAGACACATAAGAACCAGAAAGCTCATGCTTCCCACAAGGGTGACTGGCAAATGTGACTGTGAGTTGGTTTGACAGTTTGAAAAACAAATCGCATGAACTTTTCCAAGAAACAGTATTCCTAAGCAGTGCTCATGGCGAGATTGAATGCCCCCAGAGTCCATACATTCAAATCACGTTTGTCTCCGCAGACACACTAATACACTTTAGGTTTGGTGTCTGGCTGCAAGCCAAGGACCTATAGAACATGAATCTCATGAGTGGAGCCATTACCAACCGATGGGATCCAGAAAGACTGAATGAACGTCTTCAGCCCGTCCTAAGGTTACATTAATGTACTGTATGTGTTAACATCATGTCTGAAACCTCAACTCTTCAGTGGTGGTAACAAATGTGTTTGAGGCAGCTTGACCTTATTCGTTTTTAAGAGGGTAATTTAAGTTGAAAGGCACCGCCAGTGAGCATTAGGTGAAGCCCTGGTGTTGAACTCTTTTAGAAAATATCCAAATAAAAGGCAAACTATTTGTACAAATGTGTACAAGTGGCTTGATTATAGTAGCTTTAAACTAGAATAAGAAAAAATCAAACAAATGATTTCATATTTAAAGGAATTGTTCACCCCGAAAAATGGATCCTAATGCCGTCCCAAATCCTTATGATTTTCTTCCATGGAAACCAAAAGAAGTAGTTTAGCAGAATGTTCATGCTGCTCTTTTCCAAACAATGAAAGCATACAGTCACCAAGAGCTGGTCATAAGACCCTATTAAAGTACATAAAAGTAAAAATATGACTTGTGCAGTATCTTGAGGGTCTTCTGAAGTCATACAATAGTTTTATGTGAGGAAGACACAGAAAATCAAGTTATTTGCTGAAAATTGTATTTTCCAAAATAGCTCTCAAATCTCATTCGCACTTCAGCGTATTCATTGCTGTGTTGTTATCAGTCATTGTAAATTATTTCAATTTTGGTTTGTTCCTTACACAAAGTTATTGTCTGCTTCAAATAAACAAGGTATTATTTATATACTGTACTATTATAGGATTTATTAATGTTTTTATTTGATTTGGTTTTTCATTTTAAATTTGAGTAATTTTGTTATATGCTTTTGTCATTTTTATTAATTTAATTTCTATTTAGCTTTAATTTAATTTTGTTTTCAGTTCTACTTTAGTTTTAGTCATTTTAGTACTTAAACAAATTTTTCTAATTTCAATTTGTTGCCAAACAAAGTTTCTTTTTTTTCAGTTTAAGTTTTCATCTATCTTTTATTTCAGTTTATTTCAATCAACAAAAACACTTTTTAATAGTTTTAGTTTACAATAACAACATGGCAAAGATGTGAAATATAGCACACAGCGCATTAATTTTGCTTTGGTGATCGTATGCTTTCATTGTACGGAGAAAAAACCTCTCGTTTTTCTCTCGTTTTGTGTTCCATATGGAGAAGTGGTTCAAAACAACATGAGGGTGAGTAAATGATGACAGAATTTACATTTTGGGGCAAACTAACCTTTTGCACAGCAAGATTTCATGAACCAGGAATTCTGGGATGCGAAGCATCAAAAAACTACTGAGGCATGTTTCTGAATGCATGTTACATTACTCCCCTATTTAAAGTGTAATGTATGACTGTTCCAAACACATCCTGCCCAGTGGGAGACATATTGTGTCCTCAAGGATGACTGGCTTTCTGTGTCTGTCATCCCCTTTAAATACATTATTTCCCATCTGCAGGGTGTGAATTTGTTACATTGTGATGGATGACGTTAAGCAGACAACCATTTCCCTCTGTAGTCAACAAACATTACTGATGATTAGATCAGATGCACTGATTTATGTAACGGCATATTATCATTCTGACAAGTGATGACAACTTCTGATGTCTTCGCTGCAAAACATTTCCATTTAATTCATGAAAAAAATGCCCAGTGGCCAAACGGCGACTGGCTTTGTGTACTCTAGGCTGTGCCAGGCCATTTTCTTTGTTTGATGACCATCAAAGACAAAGAGGCTGGTTCAGATAACAATCTGAGAGCTCCCACACAGTAAATAAAAGTGCAGTGGAAATATTGATCTAGAGCAAACGTGGAGCTAAGCATCAGGGCATTTCCATCAGCCAAACCGCATTGTTCATTTCGGCATTAGAAAAAGAGTTAGAGAAAGTAAAAATAGAGAAGACAGAATGAACCATTTGGGGTGAAAATACTTGTGTATAATTCATAATTTAAAAACATGCATGAGAGTATCTTAATAAGAAGATACTATAGATGATATAAATATGTAGTTGTGCTTGGGTGTCCTAAGCCTTGTGAATTCGAGTGACCATGTAGAAACACTTTACCAATATATGAACTGGAAATAAGTTGTAATATCAAATAAGAATTGTAATTTCATGTCAGTATATGTGTACATTCTGCATAACTATGAATTATTTTTTTATTACTTTATATAGGCAATTGGCTTGTGTATGGTAGGCTATTGTGTTCAAGCATATAGAAAAAAACCTTATAATTTTTTAATCATGACAACTCTTAGAACAATTTTAGAATGTAATGGATATGACAATGTTTCTGTATTTGCACACTGCTGCAGCAGAGAAAGTTTGGACTTGATGCTGTCGATAGACTCGCTTCAGTGAGCATGTAATATGCTGCTGCATAACTATCTAGACAGGTGGTGCTGGTGGAGGTGGAGGGTTTCAGAGGAAGATATTCTACGCTAGGACCAGCTTACAGCGAACACGGAACCAGACTGTTTAAATGCTGAGCAAGCAATCTATTTGGCTGCAGAATAAGCAGAGGCCAACCAGCTTGTTTCAAATATTTCTGATCTCTCTCTCTCTCTATGTTATATAAAGATACATTATATACATATTATTTTTTTTAGCTTTTATATATACTGTTTATCAACTGGACAGTGATTTTACTCCTTGCTTTTTCTGATAAATGGTTGAATAAAATGGTTATTCAGTTGTAATAAATTACTTTAACTGGTCCATTGTGCTTCCAGTAAAGCTAAAAGTAACAGGTAAAATGTGACAAAATGTGACATCTTTCTGAGTGCTTTCATATGTTTTTTCAGCAGTAGACTAAGGAAATTCAGTTGTTATCATACACAGTGAAGAGTTACAAAAGAAGAATCATTTCAACAATGAAAAATCTTTTTTTTGTTTTGTTTCATTATTAAAAATAAGCAAGACTGAACTCTGAAGATATGTAGAGAGTGCATGCAAGACACAGGCAAGCACATTTTCTGCAGTTTTAATGGTTCTTTTTTTATCATGAATATAAGGCTGCGTGAAAGGTCTTATAGCATGTGACATCAGTGCCTTTTATCCCTTTCTGTCTGTTATATTTGTCATCCTCAGACAGTTTATCTGCTCCGCTCAATGTGACCATCAAAGCACTGGAGGGGAACTCAGCGATAGTGACATGGGACATTCTGGAGGGAGACCCAGTCATTGGGTTTGCCATCACCCAGCAGGTATTGAACCAGTTTATGGTCAATTTCGAGTCCTTACATGTGCAAAACACGGCAAAATCACCTCATAACTGAAGTTTAATGAGGCAATATCATGGAGGAATGCTTGTGTAAGCATGTTGATTATGTGTCGGTGTAGACTCTGTCTACTTTCTCTTCAAGGGCACATGCTGTTGATATTTTAGGTGGCCTTGAGCTTTCTGTAAATGTTTTATGCAAGCATGCATTAGTTTGTGTGTGTGTGTGTGTGTGTGTGTAACCAGATTTGAGGAAAGCAGTCTCTGTGGAGACCTCCGTAATAAGGACTGCAGTGACCATCTGCTGGAGTACAAAGCCATTACAGCTTGTCACCAAACTGAGCGAAACAGAGTTTCTGCAGTGTGCATGAATGTGTTTGTTTGTTAACTGTTTATCTCCTTGTGAATTTCTCAGGCCACTTATCACAACTATGGGAATTCACTAAGAATGAATTGTGCTGATAGCACTGTTTATTAGTGCACACTGTAAAACTTATCTGGAAATGACTAATTTAAATGCAGGTCATTGGTGAATCAGACGTTTTTCAGGACATTATTAAATTCAACATTAAATAGCCTGTGAAACATATTTTACTTTTATAAGAATATGCATTTGAGTGAAAGAGGTAAGGATGGGTGGATCTTGAAGTACTAATACTTTCGATACTGATACTGTGTAGAGAGAATACTTACATAAAAATACTTACATGAAAGTCAGTCCTAAATGTTTATTTTTAACTGGTGTTTTTACAATTTATTGAACATGAAAATTAAATTGAAACAATGTTTAGCATAATTGAGATTGATATTTTAAATTTGATTCTTTTGTATTTTCCATTTTAATTTTAAAGTTTTAGTAAATTTATTGTTTTTGTCATTTTGTGTAGTTTTTATTTTTTTTATTTCAGTTTTAGTTTTAATCTTTTTAGTACATTAAGTTATACTGCAAGGCAAGGCAAGTTTATTTATATAGCACTTTTCATACACAATGATAATTCAAAGTGCTTTACATAAAAGGATGTAAAATAATCCTAAAAAATATTCACAACAATTAAACAAGGAATTTAAAATTATTTAAAAAATGATTTAAAATTAATTTAAAACAGTTAAAAATAGAAAATGATTATACAAAAAATACAGTGCAAAGCAGTGCTCATTCAATAAATGCACAGCTAAACAGATGAGTTTTGAGTCTGGATTTAAATGTGACTAATGTTTTAGCACATCTGAACTCTTCTGGAAGCTGATTCCAACTGCGGGCGGCATAATAGCTGAAAGCGGACTCCACTTGTTTTGTGTGAACCCTTGGTATTTCTAACTGACTCGTCCAAATGATCTGAATGGTCTGTTGGGTTTATATTCAGTGAGCATATCTGCAATGTATTTAGGTCCTAGGCCATTGAGTGATTTATAAACGAGTAAAAGTACTTTAAAATCAATCCTAAATATACCTGGATGCCAGTGTAAGGACCTGAGGACTGGTGTAATATGCTCAGATTTTCTGGTTCTAGTCAGAATTCTGGCAGCAGCGTTCTGGATGAGCTGCAGCAGTCTAATGGTCTTCTTGGCCATTACAATAGTCCACCCTGCTGGTGATAAAGGCATGATCAAGTTTCTCCAAGTCTGGACTGGAAACAAAACATCTAATTCTTGCAATGTTTTTGAGATGATAGTATGCTGATTTAGTCACTGCTTTGACATGACTACTGAAACTAAGGTCTGTCTCCAGAATC